CTCTCGGCCATTTTCCCCCGGCGGTTGTTAAAATCCCTTTCGAGTAAATGCCACAGAGGTTCGGTCCATGTTGGCCGAAAATGCAGCCGCCGCAGTCCAACCAGAACCCCCAACTCGGGCCAGACGATTGTCAAGCTGGCGGGAAGCACATAGACTATATCCGGTCAAGAGCTTCGCAATAAAATAAAGTATTTTTTTTTCCGAAGGTATGTCTCCTGTTCAAATCACTAGCGCTTTGGCATCTCAAACATATAGTAAAAATAGTGAAATTTGATTTATGTCGCAATGCCCCTCTAAAGCTTATATCATGTGTCACAATTTTGTCATGATTTTTATTTTGAAACTAACAGACTTCCTTTCCGAGCTTGGTTATTTTAGGTATTTATACATTCGAGAGAATGCGCACTGGCGGTGAGGCGTTCAGTTGGAATGCCAGGTACGGTGCATCCGAACGTTACGATGCTCCGTAGCACCACGACAATCCCAGAATGCTCTGGGGCACCCTGGAAAGGACAGACAGACAGACTGACAATTTCTGGTCCACGTGAGGGCCATGTGGAATCAGACAACACATCTTCCCCAATTTACATAAGTTTTACCATGAAAGAGACCGATTTCTAAAACGGAGGTCATGACAAAAAAGAACCTGAATGACCTCGCCGTTGGACGAAGATTCACACAGACCCACTGTCATCTTGGACTAAGTATTTCAAAAATATGATTCGTTCCGGAAAAAAATGACACAAAAATATGTTCAAAATTATTACAAAAGTCACATATTTGGCCTGACAAGCAGAAGTAATATTTTGCAATTAAAAACACTAGATTTCTTATGCCATCGCATCACATATCATCACTAAATGATATATTTGACCAGGAAACTGATTGCGTTTATTGCCAATTAAGTTTTAAGCAATTACGCTGTGCAAATGTTCTGACTTGCCTCAAAAACATTCAGGAAAAAGGTTATACTCCTCAACTGTATTTATAGAGCATTCTATTGTGCTTGTAATATCTATATTTGACTGAAAAAATGCAATGTTTGTGCACAAAGAGACAACAGAAAGTTGTGTTTATGAGCAGAAGGACGCAGTACTTTGTCTCCTAAATGACACAAATTTGATCTACATTTTTAAAGCTCAACATATGCTCACAAACGGCTACATTAGACCACTACAATAAGATTATGTGTCGTTTTGTGTTCTGTCGTATTGTCCAGTATCGATATTGACAGACTGCAGCGCCTCCATGTGGAGATTTATCAAATTTAACACATCATCCAAAATGATCCTCGAGTGCATGAAGAAAGCCGCCGACTATCAAATGAAACCGATGGAAAAGAATGATCTCAATTCACCATTTGGTGTTTTGGAGCGAAATGAGAATCTTTCAAAATAAATATGCCGTGACCCGGGGTTGCTGCGGCCACAACGCTGAGTACTTATTACTTTATTATCACGAAAATGTTTGCATACTTGTTTTGGATTACCGGAAGTTGTCAGTGACAGCATTTATTCATATTGTCCAGTAGATGGCGATAGAATGCCGCTTGAAGATGATACACAGGTGTGCAGTTGTGTCAAACTCATTTTTTGTGGAGGGCCACTTTGGAGTTACGCCTTCCCTGGGATGAGCGTTACAACAGTGAAAGCGAATGAATTTTGAATCATCACGTCGTATTATTTAACTTGTTCCACAACCGTTAACTACTACACTGGGGAAAAGTTGTTGGTAATAAACCAAATGATTGAAAACCAATGAAAATCAGTCAGACCATTAAAAACATGAATGAAAATTCCCGGTACATTATGGGCATTAACGCAGATTTTCGCATTTTCTAATAACAAGAAAGGACATTTTCTCGACCCATGGTGTCCCCCATGATTTCATACAGTGTACCTTCTCGAATTATCCATCCATCCCGCCACATCAATTTCTTGGCATCGCTCGACGGATGACACTTGTGTAAGTTGAGGGGTTCGTTGTTTTTAGTAGCTCTACTTTACGAACGGCAAAAGGAGAGATGGAATCCTTTAAATACAGTTTTATTAAAAGGGAAAAAAAGACGTCTGCACCGCAACACGTTCGAGAACACAACTCTCCTCGTAACTAAAATCACTTCCTGCTTCTCTTACTTCGACAGCCAATCAGAATTTATCAACATAAAAACATGTCTAAGCAATTATTAAACAACAGAATATAATTTAGGTATTCTTAACATGAAATAATATGATGTTCAAACATAAAATGATAATAATAATATAACATAAGCTTACACTTGTATCAATTATTACGTCCCCAAATTCTCATTCTAAATCCGAAATCCAAATGCACGTGTTCCAAAATGTAAGAAAAAGTCATTCATTTTAAAAACTAATTTACTTCCCTCTTTGAATTTGGGACTCCTCTATAATAATGTACATTCAAAATGAACAGTACAGTAACATTTTTAAAAAAATTCTGGCACATCCAATATTGAATTGATCCAGATTTATCCGCTCAGGCATGTGTTCAATTTACAATGAAGAATAATGAAACATTGCCGATGAACGTTTAGGCGTGAATATACATTTGTTGTAGGTGCAGGTGTCGTGAAAGCGCCATGCAAATAAAGATGTATTGTAATTTGCAATAGACTACGTAAATTGGTGGGGGCGCTGTGTGATGACGTAATGTGATGCGGTATCATTTTTCATCAGTGTCATGTGAACATTACATCATTAGTTCGCACATTATAAGAGGTTCTAATTACTGCCAGCACGTACGTCATTGTTCTCAAGTACGATATTAGAAAGGCGAATGTTGGAATTTAATTTTGGCCCGGTAAGTATACGAACAAATCCCGTGGTGCTTCATTTAAATGTCAAACCGGCAATGTGTCGGGGCAGCCGGGAGGTCGCCACAACCGCCGGCAGGGAGTCCGAGCAGAAGCGTAAGCGAGGAGAGACTACACGGATTTGGTGTTCAGGAGTTTCTCGACGGGTCAAAATATGAGGGAGAGTTTGTTGATGGCCTCAAACAAGGACAGGGAAGGTACACCTGGAGCAGTGGAGAGGTCAGGAGGAAATGAAATACTCCGGTTTCTCAAAGGCGCCCAAATTAAATTGGCCCCACCGTCACCTTCAAAGACGGCTATCGCGCTTTCTTGCCAATTTGCAAAGTTATTGATATCATAACTCCTACACAAAATGTTTCGCCAATGTTTCTGTTGTGTGCAGTTCTACGAAGGCTCTTTCTACAAAGACTACAGGCACGGTGATGGAATGTACTCCTGGCCAAACGGCAACAAATTCGTCGGCAAATTCTACCTGAACTGGAGAGAAGGATACGGAAAACACATTTTCCCCGATGGAGCCATATTCATGGTAAGAATGACTTTAAAGTTCTGGTAAAGGAATGCCAAACAAAGTCCGGCGCTCGGTTTCAGGGTTTGTACCATGCTGACCAGAGGTTTGGTCCTGGTGTGATGAGCGAGCCAACCGGACGTCAGGATGTCGGCCTGTGGCATGGGAAGCATCTGATCCAACTGTGTAACTCTGTGCCAGGCAGCTTCAGCCTCAAAAACTTTACTGAATATGCTTTCTTCTTGGAGCAAGATGCCACCTCCACTTTTCAAAGTCAGGTAAGTAGTTCGAGTCGTCGCAATAATTGACCAAAACACTTCTACACATTCTCTCAATGGTCATAAAATAGATCCGGCGTGAATATTTTTTTGGGAGTTACACAATGAAATCATGAGTTCAATACTTTAAAGTGTTCATGTCCATTCTTTGCTCCTTAGGAGACTCCTCAAACCGTTCCCTCCAAAGGACTTGCCAGGACAGATTCAGGGGTGAAGTATTTTGATGAATAACTATTATAACAAATTCTGCTAAAGTAGTTTGCATCATACCCTTAGGTATAATGATGTACGACACAGCAATTTCTGATTTTGCCTTCTCGGTCATAAGAAAACATCCACATGGACTTTGTGCTTTTAAATGTAAATGTTTCCGAAAAAAAAATATGGCCGTTGATAACAATGGCAGCCATCCTGTGCATTTCAAGGTTCTGGCTTTGTAAATCGCCGTTCTTGTTTTAGATAGACAGAGATGACGAGTTGCTGCTCTATGATGACAACACCATCCTCCCCGCCGGCATTGAGAATTTTTCCACCGATGGCGACCACCTACCGTTGCCCCCGCATGTCAGAAGAGACTTTGACCAACATTTCTTTGGCCAGATGTGGGAAGCCGATTCTCCCCCGTATGAGGGCTACAAACGAGACCCACTCGCCACTCTGCCTTTAACGGGCAAAATGTTGGCTCATATTCACAAGCACAGGTTGGGTCCAACTTCAAAGGTACAAAATTCGCGCCAAGCGAAAGGTCCAGCACGAAAGCAGTCTTTTTTTTTCTTTTTTGTGTTTCTCTCAGGCGTCAGGGCGAAACATTGGATTGGGATAATGCAAAGGTTCTTTCATATCAAAGGGATGGTTTTGGTCCAAAAGGACCTTTGGAAGTCGCCTCGGAGCTTCTGATCCACCAGGCTTCCATCGGAGAACGAGAGGCCGTTTTGCAGATTCTCTTGGCCGGCGTCGTTCACCCCGATGTCGCCGATTCTCAGGGACACACCGCCTTGATTGCTGCCACAGTAAAACGTGTTCTCATCTCACGCAATCCTTGCACTCAGTTTGTTAGGTTCATTTCATTTCTGCTTTGCTGCTCACCCTATTTTGTTGTGATTCTCAGATCAACTGCCGTAATGATGTCATTCACCTGTTATTGGATATGGGGGCTGGTATTGACAAGCGCAATTTCGAGGGCATGTCGTCGTTGTCGGTGTGTCATGTCCTCTACTATCCCGTGCAGTGTCTATACACGTATTCTGCCCCTGCGGCCCCGACGCAGGTAAGATTTGACTCAAGGAAGTGGATTTCGCCACTGTCGGACAGAAATCTCCGCGATCCAAATTTGGGCAAGTCCATATTCTTTCAAATTTTTTTAACTTTTTAAAGAGCTTTGTGCAGCTCCTTGACATACTCTTGCAGAAGTTTTTTTTTTAGGGAAGGAACACATTTTGACAAATGTTGGCCAATACAAAAAAAAAAAAACACCAGCAAATAATCATCATTTGTAAAAACTGAAAACAAATTAAATATATGAGATGGTACGTCTTAGTTAACAAAGATTAGAATGTGATCATGTCTATCACTTGTGTCTGACTACGTGACTGTGTGTGTGCGCACGTTGGCGACTCCCAGCACGACAACGTTTAAAACAAAAGAATAATTGTGAGCGGGCTGCAAAAAAGTTCACGTGCATGAAGTTGCAGCCCAAAGATGACAGATGGTCCACATTCTTTTTCATCAGAGGAGTTTTATAGCCTTCGATCACATGAATAATAAGCGATTAAATACCGAGGTGCTGAGTTTCCAAAATAAAAAAACCTGTCATCAAAAGAACTGCTTTTTGGGAGCTTTCTAAAGAGGCATTGATATTTTCTATACCTGCCACAATAACGTGGCGTCATAACTTCCCACAGGATATCGCAAAGGAGCAACCCACTGTCGAGAAGTTGACTCCCGCGGACGATCACAACAACACGAACCAGAGCAACTTGCCGCAGCTTACAGACGCCTCAGTTCAGGTGACGATTGCTCTCATTCTACGACCGCAATTCAAATGGAAGTGTGGCGTTGCACATTATGAAGATCCCGCGCCTTCCCCTTTCGAAAGAGTAGATTTCAGCTCTTGAAACTCTCTTCTATGTTTGCAGACGGACAGTGAACTGATCCCGGCACAATCCTTTTCTTCTTCCTGTTCCATGTACAGCTACAAAATGGAAGTCTCGGAGGAGCTCCTGCAAGGCGCAGCCGAAGCCCTGAGTCGCACCGGCTTTCCTCAGCATTCCGACACTCAGGAGACGGTTCGCAAAATCGCGGCAAAAAAATACACGTGAGCCCGCCACGTTCGCATTTCCCACCACCGCTCCATACAGGATTCTGCACCAAAGTCAATCCAATGTTTTTGCTGGTGTGACCAGGCACCGTTTTCGTTTATCCACACTCAATCTGCTGTTGGATCGCGGCGCGGACCCCAATAAATGCAAAGTCCCCTTGCCTGTCCTCTTTGTGGCCATTATGGCAGGAGACACTGAAACCGTCAGGAGACTTTTACTGAGTGGAGCTCAGACCGGGATTTCTCTCTCGCTCGAGGTATAGCATGGCCCGGATCGTCTTGACTTCGAATGTTTTGCATCATTTCATGTCAGGTTCATTGAGAAAAACTTGAAACGGTCCTCCTGTCACTGTAACACACGCAATCTGTGGTTGTAGAGGAAAGGCCTTTATCCGCTGCACGTGGCCGCGGCCTTGCCCGGTCCTGAAAGTCCCAAAATCATCGAACTGCTGCTGCATGCTTTATCGGACCCCGACGCGCGGGCATCCGACCAGAATGAGATCTATGAACTAGATAAGGCTTGTATGCTCCGCTCTGCCCGTATTTCGTTTGCTGCAATCACGAACCCGCTTCTGATTGTTTTGCAGGTTTCCATAACAATAAGAAAATCATGCAGGAGCCATCGGACGCCGACTCCCGAAGAAGGAGGCCGAACGGCTCTGCACATGATCTGCCAGAGAGAAACTGACCACTCTGTGAGGCACCGCAGATTTAGAATGCAAATATCGTAATATACGGAGGGGGGGTTATAATCGGCGGCAGGAAAAGTGATGCCGCCCGGAAACGTGCGGAGCGACCTCGATCGATGACAGAGCGGCAACAGATGATCAACTTGTGTGCTTGTTTTGATACAGAATGCCAGCAAGGCGGTTGCGCTCTTGCTCTCCCACAGAGCCAGAACGGATCTCCTCTGGAGTGGACACTCGCCTCTCTCCTTAGCCATATCAAGCGGCAATGACATGGTAACTGCCTTGACACGCGCCCTCTAATAGGTGCTCGCAAATTCAACCTTTTTTGTTCAGGATAAAAAAAAAGGGGGGGCTTTTTTGGGGAGGAGATGATTTAGTTATGAATATTATTATTTACAAACGCCCCCCGTCAACAAACACTGATAAACATTCCAAATACCTTTTCCATGAAAAACGTGCCGGGGGGGGTCCCGCAAAAATCCCAAATATGAATAAACAGAGGGGGAAAAAATGTAATGCATGCAGGAATAAATGAAATGATTGATTCATCTGAACCTCTTACCCCCCACAACCTCACCCCCATGTAGGCAGTGGACGTGCTGTTAAAAGGCGGTGCAGATCCCAACATTCCGCTGGGTCTTGGAGTGGGCAATGCCCTTTGTGCCCTCAGTAACTTCAGCTACAACTTGGATAACAAAAGAGTCAAACTGGTACAGCATTTCTTGACCTGCGCACTGATTTCCATTTCCCCATGAAAGTAAATGACACAATTAACGTTGAATTGTTTACTGCAGTTTTTCATCCATCCTGATTTTACGAGACTGGAATGATGTTTTATAATCCCCCCCCCCCCCAAAAAAAGACATTTAAATACAGCCAGTGTAAAAATAATGACCATACTTCTTTGTTTCGCTTGAAAATGTACATGACTTCTTTTTTATGTGTGATGCAGCTGGACATGTTGATCAAGGCTGGCGCCGACATGTTGATGCCAGTTCACATCGGTGACCTGGAAGGGACCGCAGTTGATTATGCGCACTTCTCTTTCAACCTTGTAAGACAGCATTCAAAACACTTACGGGAAATGAGTGACGATCCTGCTTAATGGTCGTTTTATAGGAGTGCTCTGTCGGGTCAATATTTGTCCAAATCTTGGACACACTTCCTCATCAAAAGCACTTTTGGCCAAATGATATGTTGAAGTCTGCCTTGAAAATTAATTTTCAATCATGCCCAACAGTCACCTTTCTCAGTCACGGCCTTCTTATGTACTCGAATTGAATTGCTCGGAATCGATTAGCGGACGAAAAAAAGGCTGACGTCGCCCGAAGCCTTCGCTCTGGCTTTGTTTATTAAATCTGAGTGATTCACATCGGTTTAAAAAAAAAAAAAAAAAAGGAGACGTTTCAATTGTGTCTATTTTGTATTTGCCAGAATTTCTGAGTCTGAAGGCCCTGCGAAATTGATGTTGAAATGGCAACACAAATCTGATAGGTCATCCAATGAATTGAAGACAAAAGACTGTTGGAAATATATTCTGACCAATTCATGTCAGTTTTAGGACGGTGCTTTTGATCACGTTTTTGGGCCCTCGGTGCGTGCTGCTGCCAATAGATCAGTATTTGGAGGTTTACATTCTGCTGTACCTTTTTATAACTTGTGTGTAATACTGCCATGTAGGACTCGCGTATCGCCAACACCCCCTTCAACACGCTCAACATGGAGGAGAGAGAAACGTTCAAATCACGGCGCCACCTGCTCGGCCTCATGGGAGATCTGCTTCGCTACAAGGCTGTCAAGAGACAGAAAGAGTGGGAAAAGCAGCTTTTGCAGAATCGTAAGTGTATAAGATTTTGTTGCGTAATGTGTGTTTAAAAACGGTGCGGTTCAAGAACTGACTTGCCCCCTAGGTGAAGACGCGAGTTCTTCTGGCCCAAAAACTCCCGTAGCAAGGTAGCACACACAGCCACTGTTTATGAACTCTCTCCCTCATTGAAGCAATCATGAGACACGTCTCTAACTTTGAATATTTTTTCCAGGAAACAACTTCGGTTCTGCTACCATTGTGGCCTGTCTGCAGCTGTGACACTTTCCGAGTGTACTCGCTGCCACAAGGTTCTTTACTGCTCAACGCACTGTAAACTAAAAGCATGGAACAAGGGACACAAGCAAGAGTGTGTCCGGGATTGTCATCGACATCATCATCCGGTTCCCCGTTAAAATGGAGGAGACTGTCGGCCCAAGCCGATGCGCCGGTCCTATCCATGACTTGGGTTCAAATTGCTCGTCAAATATGATCGTCCTACAACGTTTGGAACTTTTTTTTTTTTTTTTTTGCCAAACTACCTCAAAAACCTAGGTCTAAGTGATGAACTTGGCCGACTTGAAGCTTCCAAAACTCTGCTTCCTCTTATATGAAATGTTTTTTAATGGCATATCAGGGACGTGTTTCTTACAAACTGCAGTGTACTTAGTATATCTCCCGGGGGTTCCCATGACTACCAAGTCCAACAATGACCTGTGAACTGGAGGCATGTTCTCAACATCCTCACTGTGCCAACATTCACTTTATTACCCAAGCTATATTTTCACACAAAATAATAAAAGCTGTCATTAAAAGAATATTCAGAGTGGGATTCTACAGTACACACTTATTGCATTCTATCTGACATGTGGTGGGTCATGTGATTAGCAAGCTTGCTTAATTGCAGATGTTGAGGGACTCTGACAAAAACACTAGTCAGGTTAAGTGCATGCTACAACCACACGAAATAGCATATGGGGTGGGGGTGGGGGGGGGCGCAAGACCCCCTCCAGGAGTCCTTCCCCACAGAGTGACTAGACGCTTCCAGCTTTTGGGTGAGGAACAAAATATTAAAAAAAACAGTTGGTTTAGTAAAAGAAAATTCTAAAATGAGGAAAGGGGCAAAGGCATCACTGGGACTATTTGCCTATAAAATAAAATAAAACAGCCTGCACACTATGACCATCCATTACAAATGCAGTACTTGATTAAAAGTCAGTGCAAAGTGAGAGAGGTAGACAACAAGCTTCATAGGGGATCAATGATATCAATACAGTACTTACCTTCACTTCTTTCTATGAAAAAAAACTACCATAAAAACGAATCGGAACGATACCTGCACCTTAGTAGTTTGATTTGCTGCGTCAAATGTCATGAACGGGGTGCAGTGGCGCCGCTCTGACAGTTGCTGCGGGTTTCTGTTTGTTACGTCATCCTCCCAGATGAGTCAGCGGCGGCACGGACAACAAGACGAGCAGGAAGCGGCACATGGAAAAACAAGAGGACCAAAGCAAAGGCGCTGTCCGTCATTTCGACGACGGGAATGGACACGGAGGAGCAAGAAAACGAACTGGTGGCCTTGCAAAGTATCTTCAGCTCAGAGGAGTTCGCTCGACATGAATCGAAGTCCTCCGGAGAACTTCGAGTTTCAGTGGAGCTGCCCTCGGGATACGCGGTGACACTCGCTGAAGGTAAAGCACCTTTTCAGTGGAGAAAAAACCGCGATGATGACGTCGATATCATCGCGCTGGAGAAAAATGAGCCCTTCCTCGAGTTACTTTGAATAAAAACAATCAAGTGTCAAGAAGTTAAGACGAAACGATATCCAGTGGAATGGGTTGTATGACATCGAAAAATAATACGTGAAAATTGATCTTTTCCTTTTTCTAAAGGCAAACCAAAACAAGTTTAAAAGCAATAACCTTTTTTTGTGAGGCACGTGTCACGAATTGAGTCAACAACGCTTTCTAAGTTGTGACCGATTTGCTTTCCCAAAGATGACGCGTTGAAGCAATGCAAGATATCATTCCTTCCACCGCTGCGTCTCAACTTTGGACTCCCTGAGGATTACCCCTCCCGCTCTCCGCCTTCCTTCAGTCTATCTTGTAACTGGCTGACTCACAACCAGGTAATGTATGTCAAATTTAAACGCCATATGTTGACATGGATCACAATTTGCCTTTTCCATTGCATCCGTCCAGCTTGCGGCTCTGGGAGCTCACCTCACCGATCTCTACCGAGCCACCGGAGGTGATGTGGTGCTCTTCTCCTGGGTACAGTTCCTGAGAGAGGATACTCTGGCATTCCTGAACCTCAATTCTGTGCTGGTGCTGCCCAATGTGCCCAGCACCCCATACAACAGCCAAGAATCAATCCATGCTGCACTCTCAGAACGCAAAAGCAGTCAAACCGCACTGACTTCAGGAGCCGAAAATGTCCAAACCTTTTTCCTTGATGATGAAAAACGTGTTAAAGGAGCTGGAGACAACGCGCCAGAAACCTTCGAAGAACGCGGACCCTTCTCCGGTCTCTCCTTGAATCCTGCGCAACGTCTCCTCTCTGAGATATTGACCCACGATGCGGCCCAGGGACAGAAAGTTTTTCAGAGCACAGTTTACGACTGCGCCGTGTGTTTCATGAGCTACCTGGGTTCAGAATGTGTACAGATACAGGAGTGCGGTCACGTCTTCTGCCAGGCCTGTCTCGCTGAGTTTTGCAAGCTGCAGATAAGAGAGGGAAATGTCCTTGGTGTCACCTGTGCTCAGGCGGACTGCACGGCCTTACCCACACAAGCACAAGTAAAGCACAACTCCAACTCCTCGTTTGATTCATCGTTGGCCGTGGATATTTTGTCTTTTTTCCTGCCATCCTTTGACTCTGTTGTGTTTTGATCTGGAAGGTGGAGAGTCTGGTAGGAGAGGAACTGTTCAGACGCTACGATCGGCTTCTGTTGCAGCACTCCCTGGACTGTATGCCAGGTGATGATTGCATAAGTGTAAACTCTCCTATATGGATATGTTTACACACATCCAGTCAAGCTCAAACTTATTCAGACCTTAAAAACTAAAAAAAAAAAGCACAGAACTTGTTCACTGCCAGCCCAGTTAAAATGGATCTTCGTGGACGTCGATCGCAGTCAATGGCAGCGAATGAGTTTTTCAAAGCAATACATTTTGTACCCTGTACATGATGATGTACTGTATCCTCTGATTCCCTCCAGATGTGATGTACTGTCCACGGCCCTCCTGTGCGTCGCCAGTCGTTCGGGAGGAGGCCAGCGGCGTGGCGCTCTGCTCCGTCTGCGGCTTTGCCTTTTGCGTTACCTGCAAAAAGACTTACCACGGAACAGACGACTGCAGGCCAAAGAGGTTGCTGAAGAGCCTGCAAAAAGAAGACTCGGAGCAAGGCAATGCGGAGCTGCCCCAGTCCGTTGGTAGGTTGATGTGCTTGTGGCATTTTTCTTTTTTTACAAAGGGGCTGTGTCACTATTTTTTTTTTATTATTATTTTTTACGCGATGGCCCAAATGCTTCCGACTGTTTTTCAAACACTTATTCCCGCTCTCGAAACAATGACTCAGCGGGAATGAAAATGATTTGCGACAACTAAAACAGTTTGCAGACATATTTGCAACCTTTCCCAAACCTTGACAACCCCCCCCAAAAAAAAATCGCTACGTTGGCGAGCATTCGCCGCCCAGTAGGATACAGAATTCTTTTTAATTTTAGAAGAATGAGCACTCAAACCATCAGCCGTGTGTTTGCACTTCATGATTTCAATGCTGCCCTGTGTGTGTGTGTGTGTGTGTGTGTGTGTGTGTGTGTGTGTGTGTGTGTGTGTGTGTGTGTGTGTGTGTGTGGGTGTGTGTGTGTGTTGTGTGTGTGTTTGAGTGTTTCAGAGGGGATGAAGGCTCTCTGGGACGACTTCGCCAGTGGCAGTAAGCAAAGGCGCCGCCTGCTGGTGAGCAGGTATGGTCAAAAGGGGCTGTTTCAAAGTCTCGAGGACTGCCTGAGCCAGGGTTGGATTGGGTCCAATAGCAAGAACTGTCCACGCTGCTTCTGCAGGATCGAGGTATTTTGACTTCCTACCCTGCTGACGTCTTGTGAGTGTGCATTTTATAGAGAGGGGATGGGGGGGGTTCAAACATATGTATATTTTTTTGGGTGCAATTGCTCACTTTTTTTTGTGTTGCAGAAAAACTTCGGGTGCAACATCATGACATGCTCGCAGTGCAGACAACAGTTCTGCTGGGTCTGCCTTGCCGTGCTTTCCTATGAGAAATCATTGCAACACTTTCAGGACAGTTCGTGTTCTCGCTACTAGGATATGCGATGACCACCAAGCCTCAGATGGAACACAACTTTTGCCGGTACGGTGCCTGTGCAGAAATAGCCTACGCTTGCTCAGGAGCCACTGAATGGACAGTACATATTCACCTTCCAGAGCTCGGTCTTATTTAATTGCAATTATAATACTCATACTGTATTTTACACCTTCCGGGGGAACTTCAATAACAGTATATGCTGTCAGCAGAGAATAGATTTAATTTAATTCCTTTGTGGAGTTTGCATGTTCTCCCCGTGCCTGAGTGGGTTTTCTCCGGGTACTCCGGTTTCCTCCCGCATTCCAAAAACATGCACGGTAGGTTGACTGAACGCTCTGAATTGTCACGAGGTGTGATTGTGAGCTCGAATGTTTGTCCATGTGTGCCCTGCGATTGGCCGGCGACCAGTTCAGGGACAGGCTGCAGCACGCTCCTGACCCTCGTGAGGATAAAGCGGTTCAGATAGTGGGTGGATGAATGGATGTATACTTTTTTTTTTTTTTTAAAGGGGAGTGTGTGTATTCATGAACATTGACCGTACGTCTAAATATGACTTTAGTTGTTGCTGTGTTTGGTGGCTTGTTGAGTTACAGTATTTGATTTTGTGCATTTTCATTTGCTGCTGTGTTAAATGTTTTTGTTTTGTTTTTAGTTTGTATGTTTTGCACTTCAGGGCCACCGTGCCTGTACTGGAAGCTTTAACAGGTCATAGTTGACTGTTTTTCACTCTTTGTTGTTTATGTAAATGCTGTTCTTAGGAATTTTATATTTTGGAATAATTGGGGGTCAACATTTTCTTCAATTCAGATGCCCAAATATTGCCCCCAACAATTACAGATGTCGGAAGGGATAAAAAAAAAAAGTGGCAGAGTGAATGCCTGAATGCACAGTAAATCAAATCGTATGTGAGGTGAAACACCAACTAGCAATCAGAAATGGGAATTTAAAAAAAAAAAGTTCTTTTTGAGAACGGATTTCCCAGTGATTTGATTCCTAGGAATCGTTTGTTTGCGAGCCTGTCAATTCCATGAATTGGTTCCTCTCATTGCAATTGACTGGCCTTGGTTGTGCACATTCACAAGACCAAGAGGGTGCAAATGTAAAAACTACAGCCCCATTGGTATGGATTTTTTTTTTTTTTTAGCCTGATTCTGATTCTAGTATTTGGCAAAATAAAATTCCGATAACCGATTCATCGGCCGGATCATCATGAAAAAAAAAAGTGGTGAATAAAATAACTTTTTTTAATTTGCTCCCATAACGCTTATAACAATGAATACATGAAGTACAGGCTGAACATTGGACTGTTTTACAACACTTTTCGTATTTGTTTGATGTTACAACAGAGAGCAAAATCAGCAAAAATGTTGCGGCGGACGCTCAAATGTCATACGGTAATATTTGTCGTATGGTGTATGTAGTGCGTTAATGTGTACAAAACGAAATAAATAATCAGGCGATTTTTTTGGGGGTGGGAGAGGGGGGTGACGCAATGACGCTGCTACACTGATGATGGACGAGGCAGCTCGGACGTTTGTTTCGGATGAATCGCCTGAACGGCCTCGAGTGTGACGCCCAAGTCATGGGAAATATATCAGGTTTTCAAAATAAATGTGCGTTAATGTGTACAGAACGAAATAAATAATCAGGCGATTTTTTTGGGGGGATGGGAGAGGGGGGTGACGCAATGACGCTGCTACACTGATGATGGACGAGGCAGCTCGGACGTTTGTTTCGGATGAATCGCCTGAACGGCCTCGAGTGTGACGCCCAAGTCATGGGAAATATATCAGGTTTTCAAAATAAATGACCAGTCAAAGTGGTCCTTGAGAGGTTCCATTGAAGAAAAAAAAAACACATGGCAAAATATTCAAATCCCTGGCAATTTTCACAGAAACTGAATTTTGATTTGATGAATTGGTGTGCAGTATTTTCACTGCAAATTGTACAAGAAAGTGGCACAAGATTATCACGTATTGACGGCACTGATTCGAAACATAATGTTCAGAATACCATACTGCTTTATCTTTGGTGCAAAATATCAAATATATTGCGACTCATTTCCTTTAAACAATTTCAGTGTTTTGCCACTTTCTTCTAATGTAAAAAACAAACAAACAAACAGAAAAACGCTCCACACTGAAAAAAAAAATGGTGAATTTACGTAGATTATACATCAACTTAAAAAAATATATATCTGGATCCAAATAATTATATTTCATGCATGCAATCATCCGACCAAATAAAATGGGAGTAAATTCAACAGAGCTATTTTTCAGTGTCACGAAAAATTCTGTATCCAGATGATTGTATTTTACGTAACCACCTGATGAAATAAAATGGAGTCAATTGAACACACCAACTTTTTTAGTGTACCTGCTTCCTTTTATATGCAACAGACGTCTAACGCAATTTAATCAGTGATTTGAACATTACTTGAAGTGTACCTGCTTCCTTTTATATACAACAGACCTCTTAACGCAATTTAATCAGTGATTTGAACATTACTTGATATAGAAAGCAATCACGCAAGAATATCGAAAAATCATCGCTAATCTGAACTACATTGCCAGCATGCTTGGTCAAAGCTTAGGTGTAGTATTTCCTTTTCCCTACGACTGAAGGCACAAACAAGGCCGGCTCGGGTGAAGCCTGAATCAAAGGACCGCTCAAGGTCAGCAAAGGCCAACAAATTCACGTCACACGTCAAGTGCCGCGTTCCCGCCACGCGATCTCGGTTGTGCTTTGGATTTGATCCCATTCCGAGGCTACATCAGACGACCGCCGTTGGTTTGGGTCTCTCACGTCACCTCTTTTTTCTTGGTTAATCCAACCAATCGCGTTACATCCGGTGCCGTGAAGCTACGAGACATCTTTCGATTCTCCCGCATCCTGAGTTAGACAAAAACCAAGGTCAATTGCAACCATTTTTTTTTTTGTCTTATGGGGATTTTAAAAGAGTGTACATGTTGACACTAATCCGTCAGTAAAATGCCCACAACAAAGATTTTCTTTCTACCACTTTGGTGTCACGCTGTTGCCGTGTTTTCTTCGTTGTCCCCTGTCCCCCCCCTGCCCCCGCCGTCCTCTTAGCTGTAGCCCAAGTTCTCCATCTCGTTGCGGTACCTCCACTCGGACACTTTAGCTTTGTGTTGCTTGCTTTCCAGATGCTGTCGGAAGTCCGTTTCTTGTTCAGCGCCGCAGTTGCACATGGAGCAGTAGAACTGTCCGCTGGGGGTCACGCACATGGCTAAATCTCGGGGGATCCGCTGCCTCGGTCTGGGGTTGTAGTACGGCCCTGGAGACAAACCGAAGAAATCAGTCGCAGCTTTGAAGGAGGCTTGCTCTTTCAAATCCTTCCGCTGGTGTTCAGTAGGGTTTAGATCAGGGCTCTTCAGAATAGTGTCAGTGCTTTGCTCTTGGCCATTCTTCTATGTTTTTCCTTGTGTGTTTTGAGTCATTCTGCTATTGCAAGACCCGTGACCTTTGACTGAGCCGAAGCTTTCTGACAAGCTTACCTTCAGAGTCTTGGAAGTTTTGATTGACCCCGCACAGATTTAAGACACCTTGTGCCAGATGGGGGGGAAAAAAAAAAAACAGCCCCAGAGCATAACAGAGCCTCCTACACGTTTCACAGTAGGGACAGTGTTCTATTTTTAGAAGGATTGATCTGTGAACAGAGAGCTGCTGTGCTTTGCCAAAAAGTTTTGTCTGGTCTGCCCATTCTCCCAGAAGCTTTGTGGCTTGTCAATGTGTAGTTGAGCATTTTTTTTTTTCCACGGTTTATTTTCAACGGTAGTGTCCTCCCGTGAAGTATTTATATCCGACATCCAGATCTGACACCGATTTACCTTGACCTTGGCGTTCACCTTTAAAATTCTTTGGAGCGTCTTCTGAGCTCTTTGGTTAGCGTTCATATTCGTCCTCGCTTGTCTGTTTATTTCGGACAGCTCTCATGCTCACTCTCTTAAAAAATAATTCGGCTGAACCACAACTCAGAAGCGATGTCTGACTTTCGTGGTTTGATTTTCATTATTTTTGTCATTAATGTTGCGTGCTTGTCTAATCCCATACAAGCGGAAGAGATGAGCTTTTACCTTGCATGGAGGTAGGAAGCTGTGGGCTACGGCGATTTTTCACCAGTCTGTACTCATTGCCATCCTTCCAGTTCCTTTTTGGGCTTACTTCGCGAATACAGTCCCTGAAATGGAAGATCCTGAGTAACAATCACTTGAACGTAAAAAAAAAAAAAATGTGGTGACGTGGCCAAAAAAAATGCTTATCTTGGTGAAGCTTACACGTTACTGGTGTTCTGCTGGGCCTCGGCCAGGCGGAGTTTCTTTGCGTGGTTCTTGCCCTGGTAGTGCGCCTGTGCAACTAAGAGGGAGCTGAAGGAGGCATCGCACAGCTTACAATAGTCATTCTCTGTGGCCAAAATGACCCGGGTGGGCCCCTTGTACAACGTCTGCAGGCACAGGACAAAACAGTGCAATGTTTTATTGTCAGAGGGGTTAAATGCAAATGGATAAACAAGCAAAAGCAAAATATTTGTAGGGGTGGGGAGAATTTGCGCAATTGATTACACTATCACAAGCTAATAACTGTCTTTGAGGCTTGCAGCTATGGAATATCTTGGTATTTGGATAACATTTTTAAATATATATTTTTAGCTTGATCAATGATAGAGAAAATAGCACTTTTCACTTCATGAACAAGCTCTTGGTTTAAATTTTAAATAATGAACTTTGATTTTATTTTATTTTTTTTAAATTTAAACTAGCTTAGCGGCTTGCTGCTATCCACTGGTTGCTAACGCTGGGAGCAGGCGTTGCATTCTAGAACGTCAGCATATTTATTTATTTATTTATTTTAGCGTCATTAATTAGCAATTGAACAAGGTTTCAAAATGCCATTGTGATGGCAACTTAAACCTAAACTGGGCTCCAACTTCCAGTAAGGAGGACAAGCCAAGTCAGCCGCAACGCCGCCAGGTCAGGAACAACTTCAAAATAAAAGCGCACCAAGGCACTCATGTCTGTGGATTCCTGTATTTGAGATTTTATTTTGAAGTTGGCCTTCTCACCACGTTGGCGCCGTGTTAGCGTCATGTTTTGCATTGCTACGGCTAGCTTGACTGTCCCCCGCCCAGACCCTCGAGCATTTTTGTTGTTGCTCTGAGCCAATACCCAAAGAAAGCACACAGACTGCCCAACAGTGTTCTTACTTACCAGCGCTTGAGAGAAATGTGACTTCTGTTGGCAGATTGTCTACATCAGCAGCGGGCGTCATCTCTCCTCTCTCCTCCTCCATTAAAAATGGGTCACTCAGTAGCTTGGTGTCTTACCTGTCTCGTAGTATCAGTGTCACTGGATCCTGAGATGAGGTTTGTCTGTCCGGCTGCCTCGAGGACTTCGGGGATCCTGATGGCTGGTGGCTGCTGACTGCCAGCTAGAAAATTCCGCAACTTTTTACTGTGGTTCTTCCCCTGGAGGAGACAGAGTGTGAAAAAAAGAGTGTCGTCGGTGGACCATACACGCAGGTGTACAGTATGTGTGCGCTTGCACCTGCTCACCTGGTAGTGAGCCTGTGCTTGCTGAGCTGAGTTGACGGTAACATTGCAGAGTTTACAGTACAAAGGTTTGCAAAGTTCTTCCAGAGCGGGCGCGTCCCCCTGCTCTTCCCTAACCAGAGGAGAGCCCTCTTCCTTGGGCTGCTCGCTGGCTGGGGCTGCCTGACCCGGAAGAGGACCCGGTAGAAGAGCGGACACTGGGGATGAGATGAGTGGAGGTCCGGGTCTTAGGGGCAGTTGTGAGACTTCTGGGCTCGGGATTAGCGGGGAGGACAAGGGGCTGGGTGGCAGGGGGAATCTGTTGACTCCGGTAGGCACGGGGGGAACCAACGCATGTGCGTGGTTCAAAGGGGGAGGCCCCAGCGGTTGTGTGAGGTCTAAAGAAGGAGGCACCATTGCTTGTAAGGGGTCCAGTGATGGCGGTCCCAAGGTGTGTGTCAAAGGAGGCGGCCCGAGAGGCTGAGCTGGAACTAATGGCGGCGGGCCTAAACTATGGACGGGGGCAATGTGGGGAGGCCTCATTGTGTGAGCAGCAGTGATAGGAGGGGGCACCAGAGTCTGGGCGCCAACCACATTTGGCGCTCCGATTGCTGCAGTAGGGATGACCGGCGGGGGGCCGAGAGGCTGCGTAGGCACCATCGGTGGAGGTCCCAGCTGGTGCAGGGAGTCCATGTGTTGAAAAGGCTGCTGTGCGTGGCTGAAGAGACTGAGAGCAGGCTTCAGCATGGTCTCCGGACCTGAGGAGAGGAAGATGCGCTCTGTCAATTTTTGGATGACGAGGAATGGCTTGTGTCCAGATTGACACCAACATTTCATGGCATCATTCATGGAGAATGAATTCGGAGTGCTGAACTCAACAATCGAACATGCTTTGCCTCTTGTCGGGGGTAATCGATTGTGCATACACGGTACGAGCACAGTAGTGCGACCGACCACCCAAAAACATGAAGGCAAAAAAGAAGAGGGCAATCCTTGAAACGACAGATTGAGACAAAATGGACTCCACTTCTTCAAGCCTCGTGTTTTCAAATCACCGTTGCTTTATGATGTCATCTTATTCGCACAGAGATTAATGATGATGGCTTGCGTTACGTTGGAAGAAATCACTCAGGCGCGACCGACCGGCAGTCTGACCGGCGGTCATCTCAGCAAAGTTCTGACATCCATCATAAATCGCTGGTCATTCTTTGGTTACGTCCACTCTTTGGTGGCTACGGAGTCTTCCTTCGTCGCAGATGCGCAACCCATCGGTCGGATTTTAGACTGACGTCAGCAAGTGCGCGGAAAATCAAGCCGCATTGTCTGGCAACATGATCAAAAGTCACTTGACACGAGCGTGCACATTGTAAATGCACGTAGCGGTGTCATGCCGACAACATTTGCTGCAAGCCCCGCCCCTCTTTTAATTGCTCTCTGCTTACTTCGTATGTCCAACATGGAAGAAATATCATGAAGAAAAATGTTTAGCTTATCTCAAGCATGACTCATGAAAAAGGCATTTATGCGCCTGTGATTTGTCTTGGACTAGAGAGTGGATGCTTCAGGTAGTCTGGCAATTTGACAAAGTATCTATGACTCGTGTCCAGGAACTATAAGTGAAAGCTTGGTGATAAAAGCAGAATGAAGAAAGCCCAGAGGCGCTAGTCGGCAGCGAAAGAAATCGGCAAGTGAAAACTGCAGGGCGGAAAGGCTTCACACTTCAACGGGGATTGAAAAGATTAGGACGGGCCGGCAGCAACGCAGTCGAGCACACAGACTGATGACCACGATAAAAGCCTCCAGCTTCCGCAGGATATGACAGCCCGAAGTTGGGTGCTTGGCAAACAGATTGTGTACACGGGTGAGGGACAACACACACACACACACACACACACACACACACACACACACACACACACACACACACACACACACACAAAAAGGGAGTCGATGTAAGAAATCAGCTGTTTGGTGTTTGGTGCCTTTGCACCACTGAGGTGACGGGTTGTGTGCGAGTGGACGTCCATTGCACGGTCAGTCATCATCCAACAGCTGTGTCATAGCTTTAATCTGGAATCCTTTCGCTTGCCCGATGGCAGCATTTCATGGACCCAAAATAACACGCTCGGCTGTTTGTGTTTCCAATCGGGCGTGAAGGGGCTCCAGACAGTCACCTGGCACGCTTGACCTCAGGAGAAAGCTATGTTGAACATGACCGCAGTCCTGTCGATTGTAAGATGACTCTCTTTCACGACTGAATGCTATCAGATGTGTGGTTTGAATATGTTTACTCTCATCCGCGCACTGATTTTGACACATCCTACTTTGTCACTTTCTACAAAAAAAAAAAGTCACAGCAGTCGTCACATCAATCATGTTATCACACCCACTTTATCTTCAGTAGTCACTAAAGTGACATACAACCAAGCGCATTCAGGGAATGAACTCTCATGCAATGAAAAGACTAATTTAAAAAAGTAGCCGACTGGCAAATATATCTGCAAGTTATGTGAGTTACTGGTTTTGTTACTTTCATTATTTTCGAGGTTCAAATGTGTGAGCCGCAGTAGCCGGGCACCGGGGGTGCGGGGTTCTTGGCTTAACATCTGAAGAGATATAATTTCATCCGTCTTTAAATACGAGCAATGATTGACATGCCATCGCTTGGAAATGTTGAAGTGAAACAGACCCGGTTGTAAAGATTCGCGCGATACATGAAAACGTTGATTTAACCATTGAGTGTACACATACGGTTGCGTTAAAAAATGGCATCAATTTAAATGCAGACGATTGAAATGTTTGGATGACGCTCTTTTGGCACAGTCTCGCATGCATGCACAATAAATTCAGCCAATCGTAAACCAAGTCTGCACAGTGAATATTGATGGCAGTTCTGAAACCTTGTAATAGAGAATAACGATTTACTCTGCAACTACAAACAGTGCACTGTAAGCGAATCCGTGGATATAGTGACAGTAACCATATCTTCCCTCCTTCTGTCCAGCCTATACTACCAACTGCTAAAAGTGGCATTGACATGAGAGTACGTCTCTCCTCTGTGGATGTGCCGGTTGATAGTTTTCACAGTTTCTGTACTGGTTGCAGAACTCGACTCCCTTTGCTATAAAAAAAAAAAAAACCCAAAGAATGATTGACACCTTGGCTAGCTGGCAACAAAAAGATTTTAAAGTAACAGGGAAGGACTGCCGAAATAAAATCAGAAAGGGTTCTTTAAGTTTTACTGTCAAATTCAAAAGCAAACGAAGAATGAAGCCCTGAAGAATCCTCCTCCTGTTGTGGGATCCACCAGGGGTCTACTTTAAGCCCCCTTTGTTTTTGTTTTTTTGTTTGTTTGTTTGTTTGTTTGTTTTGCTTCCTTTACGACAGATTTGGCAGAAATATAGTGTTGAGTGTCACTGCAACGGAGACAACATCCAACGGGGTAACCAAAGCCCTCCAGTCATGCCTTGTGCCAGTCACCCAGATGACCAAAACTAATCCCTTCCTTTGTCAATCAGACCTAGAAAAAGTCACCCCTGCCTCTCCATTACTGTCAATCACTGTAAGATGGCACATGCATAAGAAAGTGGTGCTTACAATACATGTATTGTTGTTGTTTTTAAGATTTTTCGTATTGTTTCAGTGTCGGTGTTGAGGTACTTCAGTATGCAGGTGTAGTATCAAAGTCCAAATGATGGTCCGGTGACAACACGAAATCACCTTGAGGCAGGTTATAGAGCTCATAATATGTCTAGGATTTAAGCAGCTGGAGCTGACAACAATCAGCATTTTATTCGCATTGACAAACTTAGCATAGCTTAATGTGTATTTATGGAAGTTGCATTTTGTTTGTGGCTGGTTCTCGACAGCAATTGTGACGGCATTCCAAAAATAGAATGCAAAGTCAGTTTTACTTGACTCACTGATGCCGAGTCTGCGCAGACTTTTGTGTGTTCCTTTTACCACTTTTTAGAGAGTAAAATTAGCGTTGTCATTCGGTAACTGAGCCTTGTCAAACTCGCTTCTATGCAATGTTTTTCAGGGGAAAACTTTGATACGGTGGCGACTGTAAAGTCTTTTTTTTTCTACACTCCAAGCCTCTTGCCTCTCCAGATTTTTTAAAGCAAAATCAAGACACACTAACCTCTTCCTTTCTTGGAGCATGAAAATCTCTCGGGATCCACTGAGAATCTTTTAAATAGGCCAAGTGTCTTTTTTCGAGGTTTTTTTTTCCACCCGTTGTATCACATCAATTATGGAGCAATGAGAAGCACATGCCTCCTGCACTTCTTCCATCTGCTTCAGTGGGCAACAAGAAAAGCACAGGATGCATCCAGGACCATATACAGTGAATCCATATTCACAACATTGACTGTACTGCACTGTGCTATGCAATCAAAGCTACTATTTTGACAGTGCAAAGCCAACAATGGTTTGTTAATTTTGCTGTTCTCCAAAAGCATCCGGAACATGTCCGCCTCAAAAATTAAGAGTGTTTCGCCAGATAACATTTACTTCTGCTATTGAGGCTTCTATTGATGACTTCTGTATGTGTCATATGCATTCATATTGTACATCCGAAGAATTTGAGTCTATAGTCTGCAATCGGCTGGAGATTATGTACGGGGTGTCTCACCCGTCAGCTGGGATAGGCCCCAGCTCACCTGTGACGCGAATAAAGGCAAGTGCTCTAGAAAATGAACAAATTCTTGTGTTGGCGTTGGTCTTTAGTACCTATGTACTTTAAGTTAACTGAACCATTATCGCAAGTAAAAAATTCACTGTTTAATACTTGTGTGTATGTTGAATTGGTGTTTGGCCGACTGCCCAAGACATATCGCTGCCAAAGGGTAGTAAAGTACATGTGATTACATGCAAATGTCATAATTTCGACTCTAATTGAAAGTTTGAACATTTTGCTGCTCATGAAACATGTTGAGAGTCACTTGCATCCTTTTGAAAGTCCGAATTGTACACATGCTGACAAATGAGCATTCACACAAACGCATTTTTAGATGGATAGGGAAACTCCATGAATCTCATGCTCTGAGCTGATGTGACCCCTTTCCTGCACAACGCCCTTGGAGGGAATTGCTACGATATGCGATGAAGTATTGACCAACATTGTAGTCAGTGGCAGTCCTTCATTCACATCCTATTAATGAGGAGATTGTGTCCCGCATCACTTTGCTGCAGCATAATGTTGAGAAAGGGCAACATTAGCAGCGACTGCGGGGGTGTAATACGTGAACACCTTTATGTATTGTGCAGTACATGTCACCATGTGAGCACAAGAAACACAGCGGCATGGACTCAGCTTGGTACTTGATCTGCCAACAACCCTCAAGAGGGACACAAGTCAAATGCTGCGTTTGTGTTTCAATTACAGAGATGAAAGTCTTGTGGTCTTATCCAAAAAGAAAATCTGTGTATGCAGACAAGGTGGTGGGTGCTTGATGCACTCTTATCTGATACTGAGCACCAGCGGAAACGTCCATCTTTCTCTGAACAATCTGCTAATGCCTCGTTGAATTCTCGCTGCACCGTGACGCATGAAAAACGCTGATGACATGCAGGAGTGAGCTGGTCCTGCATGGCAAGCCTCGATCTCCTTACCTGGCAAACGGGACAGATAATGGCTGCTGCCGCTGTAGCCGACGTTCTGAATGGTATAGTCCACGTCCGATGCCGCCGCGGTTGATTTGCATGGGCGGTAGGTAATAATGATGACACGTTGATGCGAATACAGTTTGTGTGCGACCTCTTCGCCTCCGATACTCACGACGGAAAAGCCATTTGTACTCGATATCCTTGATATTGAGATGAAGGTCCACGTGCTTGTCCGCTCTTTGTCCTCAGTGGGAAGACAAATTCAGTGCGCCCGAGCGACGGCGTCTGCCTCCGTGTTACGTTTTTTTTTGTTCCTCTCTCAGAGTGCCACTTTTGGCCTACCAGAATGAAATTGCTGCACAGGTAACGCTACTTGGTCCAACTCGTAGCCAGGCACTACAAAATAAATGTTTAAATGGATCTTCATAAGGACCAATTAAGTATCAAATAAATATGGCTCAAACAGTTTTCCACCACCCCCTGAAAGAAAGTCTTTCTCCAAGATGGGGAAATATAAATACATGAACTTTGATTGGTGTAAAAGGTAAAAGAATGCAAGGACTCATGTCTGCATTAATGTCGGCTGCACTGTCGTACCGTACATCCATTTAATCTGAGAGATAACACTGATTCAAAAAGCGAGTTCCCATCAAGCCAATCCAGATTGTTGGAGGTGACCCCGGAGTGTTCATCAGTTCTTGTCAACAAATTGACGGCTAAAACGCCAAAGGTCTGCAACGCTGATAATTATTCTTCAGGTTAAAATTTATTTCAAGATGTGTGTCCCCAGGATGCAGTGGATTGAACACAAGTATGTTACTATGACAATGTTAACTAAAACAGCATTAGAGTCCAGTTAATGAGATGACGTGCCGCACGAAGACGCCTTCATGCAAGTGCCTCTTCCTCAGGACCTGGCCCATCGGTCGATGCAGAATCCTCCATGTCGACGCCTCGGGACATAAACGCTTCTTTAGAATGTAAATAAGAGAAGTCAGCATGTCGAGTTGAATCATGATGTCTGATTTATTGAGCGTTGCAATGAGCTATGGTAGCCCATTAATGATTAAAAAAAAAGAAAAACACCCAAATGTGGCAAAGAAACATGGAGGCCACTTGAACATTAAATATTGATGTCAAGGAGTGGGGCCGCTAAATATCATCCCGCGGCCCGCAAATAGCCCCCGGGCTGTGAGTTTCAGACGGCTGCTGTCAACTGTGACTTTTTTGTTTTGTGACTCATTTTGTTCCGCATATTAAAATTAACCGGAGTCAAAACAATTTCAATTACACCCTTGTCATACGCAGCGCTTGTTGGGAACACCTAAAGTAGAACCACATGAACATGTGGGTACAGTAGTGCCAAACTATGCTGGATGTAATTTTCAGAGGCAGACACATGAGGGAGGACACCCCCTCTCCGCCCCCAGCTCCAATCGACGGCGGAGCTGGCTGCACATCTTGACCCTCGCACCTCGCTTCCATCCCGACTCACTGAACGCGCTGGTCTCGGTTCAATTCGTCATAAGAAGAAGTTAGTGTTGCAACACAGCGAAGAATACCGTTGCCATCGCGGATTAAAGGGTCCTGTCTGGGCCGAGCAGAGTGATTTTAAGGGACCGAGAGCGGCTTGCGTTCTGCAGTGGATTGAACACATAAATATGTTACTATGACAATGTTAAGGAAAACAGCATTAGAGTCCAGTTAATGAGATGACGTGGTTTCTCTCTCCGCCGGCGTTGGGAGCCATCAAACCGGCCGCCGCGAGCTGGAGGGGTGGGCTCGCCGGCCGTGCCGAGACCGCACCATCATCTTCAAACCGTTCAGGGTGTCGACGACGCCCATGGAAAAAAAGGAGGTTGGTCGTGAGTCGTGTACGCGGTGTCGCACCATTTCAGCAGGATGAGAAAATGTTTTCTGCGGGGCGAGTGACACCAGACGAGGCAAAGAAACACATCCTTTAACATTAAACATTGATGTCAAGGAGGGGGGCCGCAAAATATTATCCCACGGCCCGCAAATAGCCCCCGGGCTGTGAGTTTCAGACGCCTGCTGTAAACTGCGACTCATTTTGTTCCATATATTAAAATTAACTGGAGTCAAAACAATTTCAATTACACCCTTGTCATACGCAGGACTTGTTGGGAACACCTAAAGTAGAACCACATGACCATGTGATTACAGTAGTGCCAAACTATGCTGGATGTAATTTTCAGAGGCAGGCACATGAAGGAGGACACCCCCTCTCCGCCCCCAGCTCCAATCGACGGCGGAGCTGGCTGCACATCTTGACCCTCGCACCTCGCTTCCATCCCGACTCACTGAACGCGCTGGTCTCGGTTCAATTCGTCATAAGAAGAAGTTAGTGTTGCAACACAGCGAAGAATACCGTTGCCATCGCGGATTAAAGGGTCCTGTCTGGGCCGAGCAGAGTGATTTTAAGGGACCGAGAGCGGCTTGCGTTTCTCTCTCCGCCGGCGTTGGGAGCCATCAAACCGGCCGCCGCGAGCTGGAGGGGTGGGCTCGCCGGCCGTGCCGAGACCGCACCCTCATCTTCATCGCCGGCCGTGCCGAGACCGCACCATCATCTTCAAACCGTTCAGGGTGTCGACGACGCCCATGGAAAAAAAGGAGGTTGGTCGTGAGTCGTGTACGCGGTGTCGCACCATTTCAGCAGGATGAGAAAATGTTTTCTGCGGGGCGAGTGACACCAGACGAGCCCAGGGCGAAAAGAACCCCGAAGCTAGCTCACAGCTCCCATAGCGCTGTTTGTAAAACGTGGAGAATAATGGAAACCGATAACGTGCGTATTTTGAGGACTCGTCAGCCAATTATCGCACCGGGTTCATCGTGATTCTGTCACGTTATGTAAACCCGGCGGCATCACTGTGCTGTCATTGTCAACTTAGCTAGCTCGTTAGTAGCCTCGTTGCTAACGTCACCCCCGATTGACCAGATGTTGTTTGTGTACAGTCTCCCCTCTCCCTTCGCTCTGTCTCTGCCTACCTCCAAAGTGACAGCATGAGGTTGGATTAAAAGATGAAGGGTGGAACTAGCGCGTCACCTTCTGCTCTCTGAGGTATGTCTCGCTATTCATCCTCTTACTATTAATGATACATTTGTATCTACTGCTTTTTGATATCCTCATCCTGTGTTGGCTGTATTCAGTTGACATTGGAACAAATTCCTTCCATAACTATTGTGCAATATCACCGTTGTTAATTTGTTCATTTTGAAAACAAATGCTTCAAATGCTTTGTAAAAAAAAAAAAAAAAAAAAAGTCCATTCAAACAACTGTTGTTTCAGGATTCAAAGCAAGCTTGTGTGGAGGGGCCAATGTTTCCCCCACTTCCCACATCCTGTGTTGTGAGGAAGCTTCCTTTTTTTGGCCCAAAGTGCTTAGCTGCATCCTGATCAGGTCACAGCTCACAGGATCGCTCGATGCACATTATGTTCGCTCCTCTGTTTATTTTGAAAGCTCATTTTACACAGTAATACTATGCATGGACTTCCTATTAAGTTCTCAGTAGTTTTCCTTCAGTGGAATAAAAATGGGAACATTTAAAAGAAGTTGGAATGCTTGCATGGTCTCTTTGGCAGTCATTGTGTTTGGATTTTGCTGTTAAATTGATTCGCACACTTATTATTCTGGTGGGTAATCTGCCGGGGAATAAAAATGGAAACATTTAAAAGTTGGAATGCTTGCATAATCTTTTTGGTCAGTCATTGTGTTTGGATTTTGCTGTTAAATTAATTCGCACACTTATTATTCTGGTGGGTAATCTGCCGTATGAGTGTTTCCCACCAACAGGCGGTGGGTAATCTCATCCAACCTGTTGCACTTTTTCAGAAATGTAGTTTTTGTAAAATTTGTTTGTTTAATCAAAATGAAAAAGAATGCTAAACCACCAGATGCAAAAGGCTCTATAGGACTTAGATTTTGAAATATATTCTGCGTTACCTCTAGGCCGATGTAAAGAATTCCGCCCTAAGGTGAAAATGCCATATGTGCCCCCCCCCCCCCAAAAAAAAAGAAACTTCCTCCCATTAGTTAAGAATACTTAAGCCTTTGATTATGCTAAGGATAAAGATGGAGATGTCCTTATACTTTTTTTTTTGTGCTTAGCATTTCATCCAGTCTTTATTGAACACCGATTTACTGCTTTCCTTGTGGTTGCAGCTACTCTGTGTGGCTGAACTGGGAGACAGAGAGGAAGATGCCTCCCAGGCCGTCCTCAGGGGAACTATGGGGCATCCACCTGATGCCTCCTAGGTAGAGGATGCCAAATTCCGTTTTGAGACTCATGTAATTTGCGTCCCCAAGCACTTGAGAATCAATCAATGTGTATCTGCAGGATCTTGGTGGATTGCCTGTTGCCTAATGGAATGATTCTAACCTTGGAGTGCCTCCGTGAGGCCACTCTCATTACCATCAAACATGAGCTCTTTAAAGAAGCCAGAAAGTATCCCCTCCATCACCTCTTGCAGGAGGAGACGTCTTATATCTTTGTCAGTGTTACTCAGGTAAGCGTGCTTCGTCCCTTCTTATGTATTCTGGCAGACCAGTCATCCATTAAAAAAGGGCCCAAAGACTTGTGCTTTTGTAAGAAGAGCGGGAAAATTGTCTCCGAATGGCAAAGCTGCGACTCCCGCTTTAGTGCAAAATATGTGGGAAAACTTCCAGGACTGGTGTTAGAAATCTAACCTAAAACAAAGACCGACTCAGTTTTTCTGTCCATAGGAAGCCGAGCGGGAGGAGTTCTTTGATGAGACACGAAGGCTGTGCGACCTCAGATTGTTTCAGCCTTTCCTCAAGGTCATTGAACCAGTTGGCAACAGAGAGGAAAAAATCCTGAACAGAGAAATCGGTGAGTCCCAATAGAGCCACCGAGAGCCGGTTCTGTTCCCTTTTGGCTCCTTAATGCAAAGAGTAAAGAGGAAAAGGAGAAATGCTCAGGCTGCATATTAGCAAAAAAAAAAAAAAAAAAGTCCTTTGAGCAGCACCTACAATGTTTCATGTGAGAAATACAGAATCTATATTT